TTTTGGAAGACTTGTTTGGAGTGTTGGCTAGGTGTGTTTTTAGATATTCGATTTCGGTGTTCGTGGCTTGTTGTGTGGCAAAGGTGTGTGGGTTCTATCGGGCGACCTCTAGGGGTCCCTGATAAACTGCGCTGAAGTGCTACCAAATTATGGGGCTATGCAAGTAAAAAAAAATGTCTATGGAATTGTTAAAAATCCGTTGGATCTATGTCAAAAAGTCTCAAAACTCATGAAACAACCCTCGTATGTTGATTCGTTTTTATTTCACAATAACTATGCGTTCCAAAGAGACATTCGTAGGACTTTCAGTGTTTTATTTTTCTTCAAATTTCCTCGATCGTCTACATTTTAGGTTGCTGCAGTTGATGTCTGGAGGGATTTTGCAAAAGCTGGAACAAGACGCCATGCGGGCGCCTTTTCTGGACACTGGGGACGCCACGGCGGAAACTTTCAAAAAAGTTCTTCTCCTGGGCGGCGAATCCATTGAAACTGAAAGAGTCGTGCTCTCAGTCCGAAAACTGAGATTTGCTTTCATACTTCTCATTTGTGGACTCGGACTAGGAAGTAAATTAACCGTTCTGGATTTCAGTAGTTTGTATTAGGATAGAGCATATGTCATCTGAAGAAAATAATTTTCAAAATTTTCTCACAATAAGAACCATAATTAAGACCTGACAAAAACTTTTTGAATTTATCCTGAATCATTTTTAGCTTAACCTAGCATACATTTTCAAAGTTTGAAAAGTGTTCTCTGAATATTGCACTGGTGATTTACTCTCTCTCTCTCTCTCTCTCTCTCTCTCTATATACAATGAAATTCAAGGGACCAGAAAATAATTCATTGTTGAGAGAATTTTTTCTGCAGAGAACCCATATATAACGAAAGGAAAGAACCATATAAGAAAAACATTTGTATGCAGAGAAGATTTTTGCAGAAAAAATCGTTGTAGAGAGTCTACCTGTATTCATTATTTCTGTGTTCCGCTCTTTTGTATTTTTTCTTGTCATTTTTTCTTACCAAAGCTGATCTTTGAAATTTTATTTTTGAGCTACTGTATATGCTTTTTTCAATCTCATTCAAAAATTGGTATTGGTACAGGTGGTACCTTGAAATTTGACCCTAATCCCTTGCTGGACTAGGGTCAAATTGCAAAGCTGTCAAATTGCAAATTAATGTCAAATGCAATGTTTTCTGCATCATATTTGACATTTTTGCCCATATCTGTGGGTCCTCGGTCAAATTGCAAATTGACCTCCCAGCAAATGTTACTGTCAAATTGCGGGAGGTCAAATTGAAAGGTACCACCAGTATTCCAAAAATGAGTCTTGATGCTTTTTGAAAATTGTGACCTTGCAAATTAATCTTTTATGCATTTGTTATGGTGCCATCTATTTTTTTTAATTTTTCTTGCAAAGAGCACTATTTTATACAGGCCTTTTTGAATTTGCTCATCATTATTCCATTGTTGAAGTATGTATGAATGTTTCAAATTTTTAAATCTATTTCTTATATTTTCCTTGAAGTTGTCACTTTCATTGGGGAATTGTATCTTGGCAAACGAGAGAAGGAAACAGGACGAACTGGACGAAGGGCGGTGCAATGGGAGAAAAGCCGGAATTACGATTGAAAACAGCAATTGAAGAAAACGTCGTGGAACACCCTGCAAAACTTGTTTTTATGTCATTCTCATGACATCGCGCAAATTTATGTTTCATGGCTCCGCAAATTTAGAAAGAATACATGTCGAGAGAATCACGAGAATGTGCATGGAATTTATTTGCCTTTCACCGATTATTATTAATAATAATAACAATATATTATTATTTTTGCGGCTATTATTTGTCATGTACAATTATAGTGTTTCTGTAAAAATTTTCCACCCAATGATGGTTTTTATCTTTATTTTTTTAATGAAAACATTCATTGGCGGAACAGAAAAGGAATTTCGAGTCCATTTTCGTCGTATCAGTTTTTCGGAATGCGACATTTGATTTAAAATAGCACTACCTGTAATAACAAATCCTCTTATGAAATTTATAAATTTAAATAAAAGACATTTTTTGAATACAGTACTTCTTTTAATAATCCCAAAAGCGTGTCAAATGCAAGGCGTGTTTGACGCTTCAATCTGCAGATTTTCCAACAACTTTTGCACGCCGTTCTGCAAATAATTGTCTGCAGGAAAAAGCGGAAGGAAAAAATGTGCAGAACATGAAACAGGAAAAAAAGAACGAAAAGATTGGACACGGTCGTGTCAATCCTCAAGGCCTTCTTATTTGTCGTCGGAAAAAACACAGCAAGAAAATTGAATAAATCGAGAGAATCGACACGCGCGACGACGAGTCAAAAAGGAAAGTTTTTAAAAACTCGTCGTCTGCTTTCTTTCACAACAGCAGTTTGAATACAGTCATGCTATTGTTGGAGACGATTTCAAAAGTGGTATAAAGAATTGTTAACATTTTTCACAGTGCAAATTTTGTTGCCAATTTCTTTTAAATCTTGAATGAAGAGAATTATGTGTCTCATGATTTTCTTCATCCAAGAAAATGTCATTTAAAAGCGAAAATTTTTAAAGAAGCAGTTTAAATATTTCCGTAAAAGTTCAGTCATTAAGCAAAATACGGAGTGATTTTTCATCATCTTGAAGAGCATCAAACATGAATTCACGAATTGAGAATAATGGAAAACGAATGATTTCTGAAATGTCTATCATATTTTGAAAGTGTAATTTCAAAAAAAAATAATTCTGCGTCCGTTTCGTAACTTAAATTAGAAGCGTTTGAATCTTTCGGAATTTTATTTATTTTCTTTTGACTAATTTCCACTTCTGCATTTGAAATCGTTTATAAATAAGTCTGAACATAAAGACGCATTTTCGTTCCATGTTTCCCTCGTTGGGAATTTTGGTATTTTTTACGAATTGTTGTTCCAGAAAAATACTACACTAAATTAAGCATCGAAGGGTTTTTCTCTGATTTTGCTCCTTTTTGCGTTCATGAACTTCCAGTTTGAAAAGTTTTTTTCGAAAATCACCATATAAAATATAGTAAGCATTTTCGTCAACGCCCTTTTTTTCCACGAATATATTACAGAAAATAAAAAAGAGACACAAAACATGTTGACGAGAACAAAAAAGGTTTTATCCGTTCTCGCATTTCTTGGATTTGTGCTGATTTCCGCAGCCGTCGAAATTCCGAGAGAGAAAAGAATAGCTAGGGAAAATAGCTACGAAGATGTCATTCAACCCCGAAAAGAAATTTCAGAATCTTTGGACTCCAGCGATACCGAATCAACATCTGAAGAAGCCTTCGCCGATTTCTTGTCGCAAATCCACGAGCACCCAGAAGAAACACCTGCAGAAAAACAAGGTAATTGCCTTTCCAAGTGGTTATTCCACATGATGGTGCAAAAAAATCAGCTTGATCAAAGAGAAGACGTACAAAACAACCAATTTCAACAAAGTCTTCCAACTCTGTCAGGATATACTGTATTGGCCAACTTCCCTTTGAGATTTTATGGATTCAAATTTTATTAGTTTAGGTTCAATGTGTCAGGTCTAGGTTTAACATAGGTTCTATTAAGTTCAGTTTACCTAATGCAATGGTTTTCAGGTAAACATTTAGATGTTAGTTTACTTCAAGTTTAAAATATGCTTGAATATATCAGATTGAATAGGTTAGGCGAGGTTATTAGTGAGATCAGGCAATCCAAGTAAAATACAGTTTTTTAAATCAGTGTTCCCAACCCGTGGTTTGCGGACTGGCGCTGGTCTGCAGAAAATGTTTGCTGGCCTGCGGGAAATAAATTTATAAACAATACAATAAATTTATCAGTACAATAAATTCATCAGAAATATCAATGAAGGACATCTTAGAGCATCTTTATCAAAAAAATTTTGCAAGACAACGGCAGTTAAAATTATCTCACAAGAATGAAAGTTGGCTTTTCTCCGAATAACACATCAGACAAATTTCCACCTGATGAAATGAATCATTTTAATTTTTCATTCCGAGAAATCATTCTTCAAGCCAACTGTTGTAATTTTTGAAGACATTTCACTATAACAGCTGCTTCATTGGTTCTTGACTTAATTTTTGCAAAGATGCAGCAACTTTTTCAATGCCTGCCATAAAGTATTTCAGGCAACACTTTTTTGAGTGTTCAAAAATTGTACAAAAATTTGCTGGTCAGGGGACAATTTTTTGGAAATTTTCCAGTCTGCAAAATAATTTATGGAAATTTGCTGGTCCATGGACCCAAAAAGGTTGGGAAACAATGTTTAAGACCATAAGGTCAAGATCTTTATCAAGGTCAAGAATTGACTGGTGCATGCAGACTGGGTTGAGTATATGTTAGGTTGAATTCCATTTTCTTTTAACTTAATCCAAGTTTCATTAAAAGGATAAGTTTGGCCAAGTGTGGCGTCAGGCAAGTGATATTAAAATATGATGTTGGTGAGATATCTTGTTAAAGTATGATGTTAGTCAATTATGACCTTTGTCAAGTATGATGTTAGTCAATTATGACCTTTGTCAAGTATGATGTTAGTCAATTATGACCTTTGTCAAGTATGATGTTAGTCAATTATGACCTTTGTCAAGTTGTGCAAGATTATTCTTATGAATGTATTTCTGAATGATTATGCAGAGAAAATCGAAGAACAAATCACATTGAAAGAATCTCATGGACCTCTGTTCAACAAGTATAGGAAGAAAATACTGCCAGCTGGAGAAGAAGAAACTGGGATCAAAACTGAGGAGGAAGGTTTCACTTATCAAAAAGAGGAATTCAGTGAGGTTTGTTATTCCAAGTCAAACATTCATACAATTTTCAAACTTGGGCTTGAAAGTATATACCTGATGCATTTTTATTATGATATTGTCAAAGCATCATTTTTGCATTCCAATTTTAGCTCATGAAGAATTGTTATGCCAACATTTCCTTTATTCAATCTTATTCTATAGAAAATCAGAGAGGACAGCAGTGATGACATTCCAATTCCAGACTCCAGTGTTCTGAAAGCTCTCATTGATCATACCCAGGTGAGTTGAGGGAAAATAATTTCAGATTTTAATACCTGAAAATTTGAAAAGCTTGAAGTGCATGAGATTTGCTGTTTCTGATACTATGGGGTGCACTGAATTGCTGAGAAAAATTTTCCACATATGAGCAATTCAGCTAGTGAATCACAGTTTGGTCTAATGTTGCTTTGAATTTCTTGTTTTGTCATAACTATGTTTAATTCTAATTGTCAGAGCATCCTAAAATTTTAACCATGCTTTTATTGAATTCACTGGGTCCCACATAATGAATATCTGGTGCTGTGAAAAAAAAACCACATCACTCATTTTCTATACAAAATGACTCGCGTGAAAATATTTTTTCTGAGAAAAAAGAACAGTAATTCATTTAGCACAAAGAAAAGACAAAGATTAAATATACAGCATTGAGGAGTTTTGAGGGTTTTCCACAGTCAAAATTTCTCGTGAAAAACTCATCCACAAATGGATTAGTTTCGCATTTTTATAAAACAGAAATGCTTAAATAAGACAGTGAATTGATAAAAACGCTAATGATAGTTAATGCTTGTGATTTTTGGATGCATATTATTTAATCAATTAACATTGTGTCCCTGTATTGTTGAACTGATTTTTACTGCATTGTATTATTCCTCTAAAAATTGAACGGAAAGATTCTAATCTGTTCCCGAAATTAAAATACAAAATGTCATCAAATGACCTTAATTTTTTTTTTCAAAAGCAGCAAACGTGTGTGAATTTCGAGCTCGATCTTCGCACATTGAAGTTATCTCGACGATTGATTTGAGCTTTCACATTTCTTGAATCCAAATTTTTCAGTTCTTTTTTCAATTCCCTAGTTTAAATCTGAAAAATTGCTCACATTTGTGCACTTTTTAGAGGAAAAACTTTGTTATGCAGCAATAATTGGTGAAGTAATTCCCTATATATTTTAGCTTTAGAATTTCGTCATGAAGATTTTCCGTTAACCGAGTAATGCGGGAACTCTCCGTCAAATTTGTTTTTACGACGAATATTTATTCATGGTGATTCGAGCGCAGGACTACATGGACACAGCCAACTTGGACCCAGAGTCAGAATACACGGGACCCCGANAAGAGAAGACGTACAAAACAACCAATTTCAACAAAGTCTTCCAACTCTGTCAGGATATACTGTATTGGCCAACTTCCCTTTGAGATTTTATGGATTCAAATTTTATTAGTTTAGGTTCAATGTGTCAGGTCTAGGTTTAACATAGGTTCTATTAAGTTCAGTTTACTTAATGCAATGGTCTTCAGGTAAACATTTAGATGTTAGTTTACTTCAAGTTTAAAATATGCTTGAATATATCAGATTGAATAGGTTAGGCGAGGTTATTAGTGAGATCAGGCAATCCAAGTAAAATACAGTTTTTTAAATCAGTGTTCCCAACCCGTGGTTTGCGGACTGGCGCTGGTCTGCAGAAAATGTTTGCTGGCCTGCGGGAAATAAATTTATAAACAATACAATAAATTTATCAGTACAATAAATGCATCAGAAATATCAATGAAGGGCATTACAGTATCTTTATCAAAAAAATTTTGCAAGACAACGGCAGTTAAAATTATCTCAAAAGAATGAAAGTTGGCTTTTCTCCAAATAACACATCAGACAAATTTCCACCTGATGAAATAATTCGTTTTAATTTTTCATTCCGAGAAATCATTCTTCAAGCATACGGTTGTAATTTTTGAAGACATTTCACTATAACAGCTGCTTCAGTGGTTCTCAACTTAATTTTTGCAAAGATGCAGCAACTTTTTCAATGCCTGCCATAAAGTATTTCAGGCAACACTTTTTTGAGTGTTCAAAAATTGTACAAAAATTTGCTGGTCAGGGGACAATTTTTTGGAAATTTTCCAGTCTGCAAAATAATTTATGGAAATTTGCTGGTCCATGGACCCAAAAAGGTTGGGAAACAATGTTTAAGACCATAAGGTCAAGATCTTTATCAAGGTCAAGAATTGACTGGTGCATGCAGACTGGGTTGAGTATATGTTAGGTTGAATTCCATTTTCTTTTAACTTAATCCAAGTTTCATTAAAAGGATAAGTTTGGCCAAGTGTGGCATCAGGCAAGTGATATTAAAATATGATGTTGGTGAGATATCTTGTTAAAGTATGATGTTAGTCAATTATGACCTTTGTCAAGTATGATGTTAGTCAATTATGACCTTTGTCAAGTATGATGTTAGTCAATTATGACCTTTGTCAAGTATGATACTAGTCAATTATGACCTTTGTCAAGTATGATGTTAGTCAATTATGACCTTTGTCAAGTATGATGTTAATCAATTATGACCTTTGTCAAGTTGTGCAAGATTATTCTTATGAATGTATTTCTGAATGATTATACAGAGAAAATCGAAGAACAAATCACATTGAAAGAATCTCATGGACGTCTGTTCAACAAGTATAGGAAGAAAATACTGCCAACTGGAGAAGAGGAAACTGGGATCAAAACTGAGGAGGAAGGTTTCACTTATCAAGAAGAGGAATTCAGTGAGGTTTGTTATTCCAAGTCAAAAATTCATACAATTTTCAAACTTGGGCTTGATAGTATATACCTGATGCATTTTTATTATGATATTGTCAAAGCATCATTTTTGCATTCCAATTTTAGCTTATGAAGAATTGTTATGCCAACATTTCCTTTATTCAATATTATTTTATAGAAAACCAGAGAGGACAGCAGTGATGACATTCCAATTCCAGACTCCAGTGTTCTGAAAGCTCTCATTGATCATACCCAGGTGAGTTGAGTGAAAATAATTTCAGATTTTAATACCTGAAAATTTGAAAAGCTTGAAGGGCATGAGATTTGATGTTTCTGAAACTATGGGGTGCACTGAATTGCTGAGAAAAATTGTCCACATATTAGCAATTCAGATAGTGAATCACAGTTTGGTCTAATGTTGCTTTGAATTTCTTGTTTTGTCATAACTATGTTTAATTCTAATTGTCAGAGCATCCTAAAATTTTAATCATGCTTTTATTGAATTCAGTGGGTCCTTCATAATGAATATCTGTCACTGTAAAAAAATCCACATCACTCATTTCCTACAAAATGACTCGTATGAAAATATTTTTCTGAGAAAAAAGTAATCATGTATTGTATAAAGAAAAGACAAAGCTTCATTATATTGAGGAGTTTTGAGGGTTTTCCACAATCAAAATTTCTCGTGAAAAACTCATCCACAAATGGATTAGTTTCGCATTTTTATAAAACAGCAATGCTTAAATAAGACAGTGAATTGATAAAAACGCTAATGATAGTTAATGCTTGTGATTTTTGGATGCATATTATTTAATCAATTAACATTGTGTCCCTGTATTGTTGAACTGATTTTTACTGCATTGTATTATTCCTCTAAAAATTGAACGGAAAGATTCTAATCTGTTCCCGAAATTAAAATACAAAATGTCATCAAATGACCTTAATTTTTTTTTTCAAAAGCAGCAAACGTGTGTGAATTTCGAGCTCGATCTTCGCACATTGAAGTTATCTCGACGATTGATTTGAGCTTTCACATTTCTTGAATCCAAATTTTTCAGTTCTTTTTTCAATTCCCTAGTTTAAATCTGAAAAATTGCTCACATTTGTGCACTTTTTAGAGGAAAAACTTTGTTATGCAGCAATAATTGGTGAAGTAATTCCCTATATATTTTAGCTTTAGAATTTCGTCATGAAGATTTTCCGTTAACCGAGTAATGCGGGAACTCTCCGTCAAATTTGTTTTTACGACGAATATTTATTCATGGTGATTCGAGCGCAGGACTACATGGACACAGCCAACTTGGACCCAGAGTCAGAATACACGGGACCCCGAAAGACTTGCCAACGGTCCCGAGCCCGACAACGCGGGTTGCCCGACGATGTGAAAGTCGTGTTGTCGTACCCGCATCCCCTGTCGCCCGAGGACAAGCAGAAAATGGAGGCGGCTTCGGCGGCGTATTGGGCGGCTGTCGGACGCCAGCCGCCGACGAGTCCAGACCGCAGCCAAGTCTTTTATGAACGGCTGGTGTCCGTGAGCGAAAAAGAAGTGCCGCCGCCAACGCCATCTGATGTAGAGACGGAGACTAGAAGATGAGAGAAAGACGGACGGACAAAGAGAGAGAGGGAGGGAGGAAGAAATTGTCTACCGGACCCCATGCACTATAGAAAACCGTACCTTGTTGATTTAGCGTACCGGGGTGAATTATACATTCGTGCGTGATTTTACCCAATTGCAACAACAACAAAAACATTAAGTTGCTCTGTTCCTATAGTTCTTATCCTGTTTTCCCTGAGATAAGACCCAGGCATTCAATAAGTTCTTTATTCACATTTTCAGCTGCTTCTAAGGGGATATAAACCCTGCTAAAAGTCATGTCTAGAATCTTTGGGAATAAACTTCTAGAAAACTTCAATTCCTCTTCATGTTCATTTCGCTCTGGGCAAATTAGTGCATTAAATTGATTAGAAGATACAATTATGCTGTTCTTCCCCAGCAACCGTATAATTAAAACTTGTCATCTTTTCCACTCATTTTCCCATAATCATCAAATTAGTCAGTCAGAGAAATATTTTCAGATGTTCCTGTGAATGTAAATGATTCCCTATCAAATAAAATTTGGTCTGAAAATGTCTAGAGTACATAAATGAATTGTTATCATATTTTAAAAATCCCAGCTGTTCTTTTCATCTTTGTATTCTTATTATGGTGCTTGTTAATCCAGCAGTTGTCTCAGCCTCAAAGATTCCATCAAAATGACTGAACAATATTTCCCATCTGAAAAGTACTGTGGAAGTAATATATTTTCCTTGTTTGTGTGATAAGATGAAATAATTAATGCCTATATACGACATAAAGAGTCTTATACTGTATAGCCCATTGAGAGAGGGTTAAATTTGAAGAATGGTCTTATTTTAGGGGAATGCACTTTTCATTATTAAGCTATGCTGTCATCATTGAGCCGGATTTGTTTTCTCAAGTATTCCTTTCCATGGCTTTACCTGACAGAAAATTTGCTCGGAAGTGTTGAAATGGACTTCTTGAATTGAAAAATGAATCAAGAAACAAGGTTAGCGTTTTTCTTCATAATACATAGACGAGGTATACCGCCGTATTAAACTATCGTGTAAGTGTAACTACAAAATGGCACTTTATTGCAGGTGAAACATGAAGCTTTACACAGCCCTGATAATTAAATTTCTTCTCCATCACTTAATATTTATGGCTTGGTGGAACACAACTTTCTGCAACGCACAAGTGACATCTGGCTTACCATCTGCAGAACCGAAACTCTTGCCCATCAAGATAACCCACGAATTTGTACGTCTGATGCTAGCAAATAAACGCATATTTGTAGCCGCATTTTACAAAAAGGTCTGTTCATGTCGACAGGTTGCAAAATTGATACGGAGGAAGAGAAATGCGCCGGTTAGTAACGAGAAATTAGGCCACCAGGTGTCACTGCCTTATTCGACAACTGAAAAGTTCACTGCCGGAAACTCACCTGGAAAATTCGAATCACTGCTGGTGAAGCAAAAGTTCCCTCAACGCAAGAACAAGACTCTGAAAGTTTTCTTTGGACCGTCTGTACAAAAGCAGATTGATTTCCTGGCACGGAAACTTGAAGAAATGGCTTACGGAACGTCTTCAACGACGAAACACAAAAAATGAATTCAACGGAGACATTTGTATACTGTATATATATAAACTCAAGATTTGAAAAGCGTCTTCATTGCTTTCATATATATTTCATACTGTACCTGGAGTCTCAAATTGAAAACAAATATTATTACATGCCGAAAACAAGACTTTGATTGACCGGACACTGAACATCACGAGAAAAATCAACAGTTGCTGAAGATTAAAACGCATACATTGTATATGAATCGATGTACATATCGTTTTTTTTCAAGGAGGTCTCACATTATATGCCAGTAGATTTGTTTTGTTCATATATGTAGTCTCCAGTTTAAAAAGAAATAACGATCGGAACTACTGTACTTTCTATAATTTTTGGAAGCAGTTGGGCAAAATGACAAGACGGTAACAAGGAAAAACGCTAGCTTTTTGAAACTGAGTCTATAAGACACACACAGCATGTGCATATACATGCACACAAAAGAAGACAAAAGCTTGTCGCTTTCCCTTGAAGCTCGGACCACCAAGGAACATTTTTCGAAAAGGATTTGTGAAGATCAATTGAATTTCTTTCTTTTTATTCGAAGGCCCGTGTGCTGGGCAATCTGGTCACACTACACTAAACAGCCTGTTCTTAATAATAAGAGAATGCTGCCCGGATCCTCGAGGTGTTTCTGGCTCTCGGGCATCATTCTTCGCGCAGTGTATCAAAGGAAAAGAAAATGACTCGGTGTCAAGGGATATATATACATGGTCCGTTTTTAACATAACGCGTATATTTTTTCTCACTCGATTTTTCTTTTATTCACTTGGAAAAAAGAAAGGAAGAATGACTTTTTATTCTGACTTTATATACTGACGGACGCGAAACGGGGAGCGGTTGTCTCGCTTCTCAAGCTCCCATGGATGATGCGTGTTCGGATTCTTCTGACGGGAACATGTGTTGCTATACTTTTTTTTCTTTCTTTGTTCTATGAGGGTTTACGGTTTCGTTTTGCCTGGCTTTGTGTGTGTGTGTGTGTGTGTGTGTGTCTTGGTTCGTGGTTTCAGAAAAAGTTTGAAGCCAGATACCTTTTTTGAAAATAAATGTGGAGCACTTTTTTTTACTGCAACCTCTCCGAATCGAATTTCAAGTGACCAGAAAAATTTGACGGTTTCGGGTCAGAGAAACGCGCATTTTCATTTTGGGAAACATAGAAATTGCAAGATATTACTATACTTGGTGATATTATGGGCTTTAAATTGCTTCTTGAATGACTATATATAGACAGGATCCTGAATTTGGAGGCAAGGGTTCATTTGTCAAATTAGTCTTTCCTTTCCTTTCAAAACACAATCTGTTGCTTTTTAATACTTTTTTCTTTCCAATGTCTAGAAAAGAATAGCCAAAAGGATTCAAGATGCAAGCTACCCATGGAGATTTTAGAGGGAAGGCCTTCGAGTTAGCAAGGATTTTCATGCATTTTTTTCTGAAGTAATTCAAACACGGACTGGAAAACAAATTGACCTGAGAAGGTTTGAGTTATTGAGGTTCCATTGAGGAAAATTTTCTATTACTACTGTGTTCCTAAAAATAAAAAGAAGACCTTCTGTTCATTTCAAATGCTGTTATGAATGCACTCCAATTATATACCCTGCTCATTGCTGAGCTGAAACTCTTTCAAATTTCGAATCTTATCACCACTATGTCAAGTCATAAACTAAAAAATGTTGAAGGATTCTGACGCAAAGATGCCATAACATAGTAAAAAAAAAAAAAAAGATGAATATAATTTCCCTCGCTTTAGGATGCCACATTCTCCAGAGGTTGCCTTGATGGTACTTTGTAAAGGTAAACTGCCATATCAGAGGTCCTTAACCACGAGAACTGTCTTATTAAAAAAAAAAAAGCGTTTGACCCCGAGTTTCGCATTTTAAGTACAGTACTGTACTGCAAAAGTAAGGTTCTCGGGTTAACGCCACATCAACTTTGCTTTGTCTCACTTCGCCCCGGGATGCTTCACAAAACCGAGAAAAAAAAACAGCAAAAATACTTGAAGGTTTCATCAACAAGAACAAGAAAGAAGATGCAAAGCTTTGAACCGGGAAAAGATTGGAAAAATAAAATTGGACTTGATTGAAAATATCATCATCCCACCCTCATATACTGTATATCAAAAAGCTAAAATTCATTAAGGCGGCATATTTCGAAAATGGATGATTATTTTCAGTGGACTGAACATTTCAGAAATATTTAGATTCTGTATAGATTTTTTTTTTCAAATTTGATAACTTAAAAATCCCTACATTGTGACCATATACAGCAAGGTCAACCTCAAAATAATTTGATACCAACAACAATTTTTTTAGTTATATTCTTGATTTGCACCATGACTCAGATATAGCATTTAATTATATATAATTAATTAATTTCGATGCAGTCAATTCGAATACGAGCTATTCCTTGCGCAATAGGGAAAGTTTTTCTTTTTGATAACATTGTTAACTTTCTGTACTGTTCCATATATGCAGATGTCAGGTTATTTACAAACATCCCAAGTTGCAAAGCGGAAATGATGGGAAAAGGCTTAGACCAAATTTCAAGGGAAGGTTTATTTCTGTTTTTTTCTTTCTCAGAAACTATGCGACATAGATCTATTATGGAAAACGCGTGGCGTGGTTGTGCGTAGAAAATGTCAAGATGTCTATCTCCTGTTTTAAAGGAGGGGCGTTCTTTTTTTTCATTCATATTACCTTTTGGAGATTAAAANTGTGTGTGTGTGTGTGTGTGTGTGTGTGTCTTGGTTCGTGGTTTCAGAAAAAGTTTGAAGCCAGATACCTTTTTTGAAAATAAATGTGGAGCATTTTTTTTTTTACTGCAACCTCTCCGAATCGAATTTCAAGTGACCAGAAAAATTTGACGGTTTCGGGTCAGAGAAACGCGCATTTTTATTTTGGGAAACATAGAAATTGCAAGATATTACTATACTTGGTGATATTATGGGCTTTAAATTGCTTCTTGAATGACTATATATAGACAGGATCCTGAATTTGGAGGCAAGGGTTCATTTGTCGAATTAGTCTTTCCTTTCCTTTCAAAACACAATCTGTTGCTTTTCAATGCTATTTTTCTTTCCAATGTCAAGAAAATAATAGCCAAAAGGCTTCAGAAAATGCAAGCTATACCCATGGAGATTTTAGAGGAAATGCCTTCGAGTTAGCAAGGATTTAATGCATTTTTTATGAGGGAATTCAAACACGGACTGGAAAAAAAATTTGACCTGAGAAGGTTTGAGTTATTGAGGTTCCATTGAGAAAATTTTCTACTACTACTGTGTTCCTAAAAATAAAAAGAAGACCTCTGTTCATTTCAAATGCTGTTATGAATGCACTCCAATTATATACCCTGCTCATTGCTGAGCTGAAACTCTTTGAAATTCGGAATCTTATCACCACTATGTCAAGTCATAAACTAAAAAATGCTGAAGGATTCTGACGCAAAGATGCCATAACATAGTAAAAAAAAAAAAGATGAATATAATTTCCCTCGCTTTAGGATGCCACATTCTCAAGAGGTTGCCTTGATGGTACTTCGTAAATGTAAACTGCCATATCAGAGGTCCATTAACCACGAGAACTGTCTTATTAAAAAAAAAGCGTTTGACCCCGAGTTTCGCATTTTAAGTACAGTACTGCAAAAGTAAGGTTCTCGGGTTAACGCCACATCAACTTTGCTTTGTCTCACTTCGCCCCGGGATGCTTCACAAAACCGAGAAAAAAAACAACAAAAATACTTGAAGGTTTCATCAACAAGAACAACAAAGAAGATGCAAAGCTTTGAACCGGGAAAAGATTGGAAAAATAAAATTGGACTTGATTGAAAATATCATCACCCCACCCTCATATACTGTACTCGTATATCAAAAAGCTAAAATTCATTAAGGCGGCATATTTTGAAAATGGATGATTATTTTCAGTGGACTGAACATTTCAGAAATATTTAGATTCTGTATAGATTTGTTTTCTTTCAAATTTGATAACTTAAAAATCCCTACATTGTGACCATATACAGCAAGGTCAACCTCAAAATAATTTGATACCAACAACAATTTTTTTAGTTATATTCTTGATTTGCACCATGACTCAGATATAGCATTTAATTATATATAATTAATTAATTTCGATGCAGTCAATTCGAATACGAGCTATTCCTTGCGCAATAGGGAAAGTTTTTCTTTTTGATAACATTGTTAACTTTCTGTACTGTTCCATATATGCAGATGTCAGGTTATTTACAAACATCCCAAGTTGCAAAGCGGAAATGATGGGAAAAGGCTTAGACCAAATTTCAAGGGACAGTTTATTTCTGTTTTTTTCTTTCTCAGAAACTATGCGACATAGATCTATTATGGAAAACGCGTCGCGTGGTTGTGCGTAGAAAATGTCAAGATGTCTATCTCCTGTTTTAAAGGGGGGGCGTTCTTTTTTTTCATTCATATTACCTTTTGGAGATTGAAAGGATGTAATATTCGGTGAGCGCCAGAATGTTGCTGTCCAAATAGAGTGAGTATATTCATCAAGGTCATGGAACTGATAAAGGTTGGTACTGATGATCATAATTGATTGAATAGAAAGTTAAGCTTATAGTCATAATGGCTCATTGGGAAAGAGGTAATGTGCAAATCCAGAATTTAATGCCAATTTATGTGCAGAGAATAATCTCAAAAGCTGGTCATGAGAAAACTAGATTTTATTTTCTGTAAAATGTTTAAAATCGGATGTAAAATAAGCGGTTCTACAATTTAAAATTGGCAAACCATTTCAAAGTCCTTTCAGTCTTTCTTTTACAGTCAAATAACCTCATCAATATAGAGACCAGAAAAAATTCAAGTTAGGAAGGTTTGATTCAAGGAAACAAGCATTTCTGGGGGAAAGGAAAGAAGAAGATTACATAAAATTGTCATTGGTGTTATTCTGGGCCTTTAACTGCTTCTTTATTAAATGAGTTGATGTAGGATGCTGAAATTTGAAGCAAAGGTTCATTTTTCCTGTCAATTTTGTTGTGCCCCAAAAGCGGTATTGCTTCTACTGGCCAAGAAAACTTAATTTCTCTTGAGGCCAGTGAGCCTCAACAAAATCAGATTTTGACAAGACTTACTGAATCTCATTCAAGGCCAACAATAAAGTATGGTCATCACTTCCTCAATTTTGCCTCAATTGGCCAATCATGAGCAAGGAAGAAATCACACAAGTTCTTCCTGAAGCAACTGGGTATTAAAACCTTCCTTCCTCTTTGTGAATCCTGAGGAGAAGTGGGAATCTACTGTTAAAGGGTCATCTAACTTAACAATTACCTTGTCAATCCTTCTGAGCCAACCAACCAATCCTGAACCATTCTGCCATTCCAAACAACCATTTCTCTAGCACTCATATAGTTACATTAATGACAACTAAGAAGGAACTCCTCTGAGTTGAGTCATTCAAAGCTTGCACTCTGATGGCTGCAAAATTCAATTCCTTTGTCTGGGATCCAATTGACCCATGATTAATTGATCTTTCACTTACTTTCAAAATGCAACAAATTACAATTTTGTTGCTTTTCTCGTGCCAAAAGACCTCCATGAAATTCGACTTTTGGAAATTTGTGCAAGCTATGAGAAAGCCTTTGAGTTTGAGAGGTTTTTAATGCAATTTTTTAAAAGAAAATTCAGGCATGCAAGGACTTGAGCAAAATTCCATGTGTAGGAAGTTTTGAACTAATGAAGTTCAACTGTAATTGCACAAATGATCCATTGTAACCAAATATACCAGAGATTTTCATCAAAATATATACCTGATGTTTATATATTTTTCAATATCCGGAAAATTTCCCGCCAATGCTTCGGACTGCCAGTTTCGGCAGCCATGCAGGTTGCCGTCTATATCTCACAGAAAGATTAAAAAAAAACATGAGACCATTGTCTGGGTAGTGGCTATAAATGCGCAGAAGTCTCTCGGGAATGCTTTCAGTCGTTCCTAGACGCTCGTATATACAGTAAGTGGACTAACTGAATCTTACTGAGCCAGTATTTCGCCTATTGTAAGATAAACTCGTCTTGTGGTTTGAAACTGACTGGAAGAGGAGTCCGCAAAAACCGGAAGGAGTTACCTTCTTCAATATACCGTACTGTTTTCATACAGAACAAACAAAGCATGAAGGCATCACCCGCGGTTAATTGAAGAAAAGACAATTTTGAAAAGAGTATCATATAATTTATTTCGATGCCAATGGATGCGCGAATTTAAAAAAATTTGTTTTATGCGATGAACATTTTCTCGAGTGCGATTTCTTGAACGTTGAAAACCTGAGCACAACATCAGTCGTCATTTTTTAATCCGATAAAATTGTCGTTTTCACATCATGGTGAAAAGTTTAAAGCATTCCTTTTTTTTCTAAAAACAACAACAGGCCGAGGATATCAACATTTTTGGTTTCAGTGGCATTTTAGTGGCATGAAACTCAAGAAACAAGTTTCATTAATCTCTTTTATATTCTGTATTTAATTGCATAAACTAAATGCTTCGTTGAGATCCCGCTTTTCCCAATTCAGTGAATTTGTCATTCTATATACTATTCATAATTATGAACTATTGCACGGTAAAATATTGCAATATTTTTAATTTTCAATATTATTGTGATGAACCTGCTTCATTAGGAAATTTTTAGTAATGAAAATCACGTTTATTTTAGTGTTTATTTCCATCTTGCGATGAATCGCTGAGAGTTTATATTTTACTATATTTCAATATTCTTGAATGAAATTACAAACGAGTTTAATTTCCTGCAAGTATTGCGCTAAATAATCGTGAAAATAAGCTGAATGCTTTCTTCTTTTACGTGTAATATTCATGATATGTTTATTTCCTATTCCGCAAGAAATTTTTGTAAGGCATGACGTTAGGAAAATAAACGTCGCGCCCTTGGTTATTTTTTTCAGGTAACATATTTCCTATAGATCTTCACATTCTTCTGTGTGAGGAAATAAAACCAAGATGTATTTGCTCAAGTTGAAACATGACCTGAGAGAAAATATGTAAAGCGCAAGTGCAGAAAAGAGACTGTGCGCAAAAAGATGTAATCTCTTGACTTGATTATTGACTTAATCAATATTTATACTCAAAGCTATTCAAAATGATCCTCTGGACTGTTTGAATGAACTTTAAATTTTTGCGGCTTTTTTTTTGTGCTCCTTGTTATCTTCATAAGCACTTGATTATTTTTTTAATATTATTCTGTTAAGCGTTGATTGACGATTTAGTGATTTTAAAAAGCACCGACTAAATTTCTTGAAGAACCGTCATTTTGATTTTTTCTGTTTTAAACTACAGTATCCCTTATTCTCTACACAATTCGAACGGTCGGTAATTGATGCGAACTTCAAAAATCCGCCAATATAATGTTAAAATATAAAAAAAAATTATTTTCATTAGAACTTTCAGAAAAATTTTCCAACCAAAATCGAATAATGTTTTTGAAAACTGTTTCGGTGTGCGCCGTATTTTTCGCCGCGGCTTCTGCTGCACCCGAGGAATTCAAAAAGGCAGAAAACCTTGTGAGTTTTTATTTTGTATATATATTTTGCTTTGACTATATTCAGTTCGGAAATCGTTGATGCAATTTCATTTCTTTACTTTCGTTTGTATTATTGCGGAATTAAAGATCAGGAATGGATGCGTCTGTGGAAAGCTTCTGTACGAGAAGGACTTCGAAACCCGTCGTCTGAATGCGTTGAATTCCTGCGTGGAGGAACTTTTTGGTGCCGAATTTAAATACAAAGGAGCTGGTGAATATTTTACTCAAAATTTGGTATCAATTCCATTCATGTGAGGTGGTATTTCAATCCCAATTGAATTTCAATCAGGAAATTTTCTACAAATTCTTGTTGCGACATCATGTTCGAGGGGTTTAAATTAATTTTGAACTTAATGTTGACATCGTCTTCAATATGATTGGATAAACTTCAAAAACAAATAAAGCTATGATTTTTCGATAAATAGTGCACTTTTTGTTCCCCATCATGATGCCAAAATTTATACCTTTCATCGAATGGAAAAGCAAAAGTCATTCTTATATGCGTATATAGCTTATGTGGAAAAATTATAAAAAAAAGTGTGAAGTTGTATTAGTTTTTGGGGCTATAATGAAGTCCATTTTTCCCTACGCAATTTAACTGCAAAATTACCCAACACCAAGAAGTTTCGAAAAGGCAATTTGAGTTTCTAATCATACATTTCACGCTAATATTATTTTCAGATCCCGTGGGACTTGAGTGTCCAGACGCAGCCATAAAATCTCTCTCGAATCTCAGGAAATTCGCAGACTGGAAACTTAAAACGTTTGACGAAAGTCAGAGGACTGAGTTGGATGATTGCTTTTACGGAAAGCTGGGATTTGTGAGCATGCATTCTTTTAATTAAATTTTCATTGCATAGCAGTGGAAGCATACTGGGCCCATAACCCAGAGGTCCATGGATTGTAACCACGCTCTGCTACCACATTTTGTTTGGAATATTTTAAGAATATATATAAAACCTATATATAAGCATATATAAGCATTCTTTTAATTAAATTGTCATTGCATAGCAGTGGAGGCATACTGGGCCCATAACCCAGAGGTCCATGGATTGTAACCACGCTCTGCTACCACATTTTGTTAGGAATATTTTAAGAATCAATAAAAGGTTTGAGTAAATAAAACTAAGAAGTTGGTTGGGCTACGACTGGGGTAAAATTTCACCATATTATAAGGTTGTTGTAATTCAAAAATCACACAAAATCTTGCAAATTTGCTCAAGTTTTGCTTCTGAGAACTTGAAATGGAATGATGAAAAAGGAAAGAGAGAAAAAAGGAAAACTATCATCCTTCAAGGATAAATAACAGTTTTGGAATTTCCAGAAAATTTGGCAATGATGAAAAACCTTTGAGGTCTCAAGAAAAAGGCATGAAAACCAGAGTTTCTCCTGGTTCTCGCAAAGATGTATGAGGACAAGTTTTCTGAGAATTTCGAGTTCAATAAATTAGCGTCACAAATTATACTTTACCATTTATTTTTGTGAAAGCATACTTTATTATTTTGAAAATGCCGTTTTATTGATTGAAAAGTCATACATTAACCTGATACGTAAATTCCGCGCAGATGAGAAGCTTTTTTTTCGAATAATTCTAATATCTTTCCTCTTGAAATGTAGTTCTCGTTTTTCGCGAGACGAGCCTTAGTATAAATTAAATCTGATGTTCACTGAGGATCTCTTTATCAAAGCAGTGACGCCATCAACATTTTTTAAAGTTCCCGTATAAAAGGAGTTCAATTTTTTTGTTGAAGAAGTCATGTTGAATTAATAAGATGGGAACCACTTGGATGAAATAGATCGTACAATGATACAAGTTCCAGTTTTCTTTTTGAAAAGAAAAAATAGAGAGAATTATCTTGGTTAGCGTTGCGTATTCTGACAGTTTTTCGAGAGGGCCTATATTAAAGGACGAGTATTTAACTGATCCAGTTACTTGTCAATTAATGAAGACATGAAAGGATTATAGATCCTCAATAATCCAGTCCTGATGTTTTATTCATGGCATGCCGTTTGATTGGATTCTTGGAATATAAAAGTCGACAGATGAATTACATCTTCGTCATATACGTTCCCCTATAAAAAAAACTAAATGTTGAATATAAAATTAGGGTTTGAAAATACAAAACACAATATAACCTTGAAAAATGATTGAAACATGTCAATAGATAAAATCGGAGTCTCACTTTACCGCCAGCAGCTCAAGACATCAGCAATAAAAAGATTAACAGCAAAAACAGCACTCCTTTTGCAATTTATGTCACACATTTTTTTTTCATGTTTATCTTTTTACATTGTGCACAGAAAGCAATAAGTGATTACTGTTTGCTCATTTTTCTCCCTTTATACACTTCTTTTCATGAAAAAGGGCAGATCCTGTGTGGTTCTTCAATTATTGAATTTTGGAGGATTTTGTTTGCTAAACGTGAGAATTGATTTAAAATTATCTCATTTAAATCTAGAGGGAAATGTGATCCATATTAAAAACGTGTAGATTTTCTGACATGTGGAAACAGTCTAAGAAGTTATCATATATCTGCATATTTCTGAGAATCATGTTAGGGAGAAACTTACCTTAACATAAATATGTTTGAATTTTTGCTAGTAGATCAATTTATTAATTGAATAAAGTAAAGTTTGTAATTATTTGGAAATAGAAGTCAGAATCAGCCTGGGACTAGGCCGGGGAACCTTATTTGGTTTCCCTGATTTAAATTAGAAGTATATTTCAAGATATTTGTCCCACAAAGATAACACACAAATAGTAAGCTCTTCAACAATACAACACTCAACAGAACTCCACAGATATTTGTAGATTTCGCGATTTCAGCAAATATGCACAGTTCAGAGGTTCGATTCAAAGTGGCTTTGGTAATTTCGTTCTCCGGTGAAATTGGGGGGAAACGGAAATTGGTTTCTGGTTTTCTTTTGTTGAATTGCTGTTATCCTTGGTGAGTTCCTTCCCTTTGAGGGTTGGAACTCTTATCAGATTTTCGTGGTTTTTTATAATTCATTTTAATTTAATTTTAGCATTGTTTGGTGTGCGGCGGTTTCCCGACAAATCATCCATTAGAATTTTCCAGAAATGTGCCAAAAAATCCTGCAATTTTTTTCTCAGATACACCAACAGAGATATTTACTAATAGAAGGCTGTGAGGGGACTCTTGACCTCTAATTCTCACTTTACAAACCCATCAAGAAGACAATAAAAAGCAAATTACCGACCAACTCTCCTCTCACAACTTCTTCATCCTCAAGTGTTCACTATTGTCTTCCAGAATCTTTTTTTCCCTCATGTCACAGAAATTAAGCGCCAAAACATTATTGCAACATCTTTTTCTTCCAAGGTGAGGTTGGTACTCTGGATTTTTTTATAATGTAGACCTTGCAGCATATTTTGTTATAAGCCTAATTCCATTTGGACTGGGTTAGGCAGGTTATTTTGGCGAAAGTTAAATACCTGCCATATATTTCAAAAATAAATGTCATGCTTTATTTGACTGAATCAGTTCTTTTTTTCTCTCGTTTTTCCCGCACAGAGGAATGAGGATGGCTCTGCGAATGTCGAAGCCATTATGAACGAGATCAAGCGTGGGCAATTGGCAGAGCGAGACAGGGGATTGGCACATTTGAAGCGTGCGAATCGAGAGGCCGATGCGGACAAGAAAGCGGACTTCATGTCCAAGTTCAATGATGCCACGTTCGCATACAAGTTCCTCACGCACATGAGTTCCAGGGCAAATGACTCCACTGTCTGCAGTAACAATGAGGTTTGCAAAATATCCACTTCTTTTGTAGAGCAGAGATCATTGAATCAGTTTAAAATAGGTTACATATTACTGTATAAGCATGTCTGTTTTGTGCTCATTATTCAGGAGCACCAGCATATATACTGTACATGTACTGTACAGTCAAACCCCATCTAGAGTACCTCCCAGCTAACTTATTTTCATCTAACATACCGCCTCTGATTGGAGGCAGTTTTTTCATCCCATCTAATGTACCAAATCTGTCTGACGTACTTCTAACGTATTTTTAACAGGTAAACCTGTAAGAAAAATGAATTTGTCTGAAATACTTTTTGTCTTACATACTTCCATTGCGAAAATCAAGTAATTTAGATGGGGGTTGACCATCTTCAGTTATTTCAGTTGTTTAAAGTAATCAGAGTTATAAAAACCTTTCATTTATGAGTAATAATGTTACTAATTTTTATATCTATAGCTACAAAATAGTTTCAACTTTACAAAACACCAATATAGAGTACAATAACACAAATTATACATTGTGAAATTTTTGTTGTGGAAATAAGGAAGGGATTTATGTAACAAAATTATTTCAAATAGCATCATTTTTGGCCAGAAAGCTTTGAATCATATAGTTAGCTTTGAGGTGAAACTTGAATTTTCACAAAACTTGAATAAATTGAGAAAAAAGTTTACCTGCTGTTTTGCATCTTGTATTTCAATTTTTTTTCATTTCAGAAACTCAAGAGCACTGATTTGTCAGGATTAATTCAATTTTATACAAATCTATTTTAAATTCCCAATTTTATCCTGAGAACTACCAAATCTAAGGTTTATAATAGGGTAATTTTGTCAGTTTTGGTTCAAGATTTGTCATATGCATCTTAAAAGAAATCATGTTTTAAATTACAGATTTTAAAACAAAAAGTGTCTAGACATTTTTGCTGGCTGTTTTGTACTTCATGCATGCTGCTGCAGCATGGCTCAATGTATATAGTTCTCCAAAATATGTATACATGCTTCAAATATGTTTTTAAATTACTGTACATGTTCTATATGATTTGTAAAAATGGAGCTGTTTATCAGACAAGGTATGCAAGCGAAAAATGCGTGACAACAACTGACAACACAGTCTGCTACAGTATATAGTAATTTTTTGCAAATGCAAACTACAGCTATATAATGAGACTTATTTTCTTACAGAAATCACCTATTGTCAGCAATAAGAGCAGGACTTACACATATACAGTTACAGTTAGACCCCCAGATGCAGACATAATTAGTGCTTCAAGAGTGTCCCAAAGTCAAAAGAGTCTTGTTTTCCCATAAACTTACATTATATAATTTTTAATTGGTGTTTTATGGAAGAAATCTTTTTTTAGAATTCCATAAAAAAAATTTGCAACTTGAATTTAATTCAGTTAATATATTTTCAACTCAATAAGAACATTTGGAGCATTGAATAGTGTACCTCTGTACAGTACATTGAAATGTTGGCATCTGTAAAAATAACACTCAAGTCACAAAGAAAGAATGAAGTCCCTCTATGCTATGGGTAATTTTTTAATTAGCTGAATTGATGGAAAAATTAAGGGAGAAATGCCAAATAAGTTTTCTTGCATAGATCTCAGGGTTGGAAATATCTGTTTCTTGCAAATAAGCCTATAATAAAAGTCAATTTTCCTGAAATTTATTGGCAATTTTATCATGCAATGTCCTCATATTGAGTTAAGTGTCCATATTTTGGGCCCTTTTTATGCCTTTTTTATTTCAAAAAATGAATGTCCCTATGTTGAATTTTCTGAATGTTGAGGTGTTCACATGTTGGGGTCTCACTGTACACATGCAATGACGCATGCTTGCAGTGCGTGACTCTTGTATAAAAATCACAACGCGAATAATCGCTATATCCTTCCAAGATTCAACCCAGCAAGCTGACTATATTGTTGTTTTCTTTTGCCATTGCAGGTTGCGAAACATTACAGGTGCACCTTCAGCGACTGCTTCGCCAAGAGTCTCGGAGTTCCAGACTTCTAAAAAGGAGAAAACATTCACTCATTCTTGTTGCTCAATTCGTCCTACTCTGTTGCTGAAGATGGGTTCCTGTTCATAGCAGCGACTCAAACATGTGTGTGCTGTGCTTCATAACTCGCAACTATATTATTCTTTCCTCGTTTTGTGACTCTCAAGAAAAACAAAAAAGAAGCAATTTTAGAAACTCTGAGAGCTTTCGTGAGTAACTCGGTCGTGATGGAAATTTTTGGTCCTTTTCACGGACATTTTAACAAAGAGAAAGAGCTCTATATTTTCCAAGGACATCTAAAAACTTCTGCTGAAGGACGAGAATCACATCGCTTAAAGTTAACTAAGTTGTATTGTGTATGTTTCTGTTGCACTGACATTTTGACGGTTGCATCGAGAGAAAATAAATTGTGGGGAAGCATGCCAAATTTGATTATTTTCTTCATTTTGAATGTTGCTGAAACACAGAACAGCAACGATCCAGGCATTTAGAGAATTTTAAAGAATTTTTGCGAAGTCTGAGGCTGTATGCAAGTACAGTATATTAGAATGCTGGTCCTACATTTGTGCTACTGATGACCGAGGAAGAAATCAAAAACGTTGACTCTTTTTCAAGTTTTCGCATACATTCATTATTGTAAATTCATGCATTTATTATATCCATGCTGAAGCCTACAAGAAGGCAAACCAGCAATTTAAAAAGAAAATATATTTAAAAGTATACATCAAGGGCTAAATTGTCTTGGAAGGGGTGTCATCTTAAGTTCATCCAGCAATTCTATTTCATACATATATTGCTCAAATAATGTACTGCTGTTTTTTTTTCTTAATACAGGGAATCGAATTAAACGTTTAGCTGTCCATATAGCGCCATTTTAATAAAGCCTTCCACCTGCTCAAAATAACTTGTCGAACACTTTTTTGAAAGCCTTGGCCACAGTTTCAAACTATTGAATTAACATTTTTCCTATCCCTGAGAATTAAAATTTCGCTTATATTGCGGTGTAAATATATAGAAGGCTTTTTTCTCATACAAGAGGGATTGTCTCTCCTTTTTTCATTATAAACGAATTTATTCGCAAGCAAAACATGATTTTATGACATACTCGTTTATTTCATGAAGAAAAATAGGGGAACTTTTGAAAAATCTTCATCAGATATCATATGACAGTCATACACAATAGAATTAAAATTTAGGTTATGGATGTCGTTTGAAGAATTGGAGGAATTTGAGGCAGCAGATACTTTTGTGATGAGGTGCATGTTTTGTTCCCTTGAGCACATTACAGTGTTCAGAATAAGATACTTGCGCGTTTGTTGAATATACTGTAATTATTATAATCTGCAATGTGTTTTGTGTACATCATGCAGTACTGTATTTTTATTGAATCTCTCCTTATTCCCCATGCTTCCTGAAAACTAAATGTTCACTCAACAAAATTGTCTGCAACACTCGGCACATTTCAGCCTATGTTTTATAAAAGCTAACTGGTGTAAAATTTACAGTTAGAAGGTTAGAAGACTTATTAAACATCAAAATGAATTCATGCGTATGGGTATTACGGATCCAATTGACTCAGTAACGTATTGCACCTCATTTGGTGTGTAAATTGTTGCACTTTCTTCACTTGAAAACAATACCGTACACACAACAATTTCAAAATGCAAAATAAAATTTTAATTCGCCATTTAATTTGTATTGTGAAAAACCCTGCAGCTCCTAAACAATTTTCAGAAGCAGCCCGGGCGTAATCCAGGATTAATTTATGCTATTATTCTCACTTCAAAAGGCTCATGAGCTGGTGCACCAAAGGGATGGGAAATTTTACTTATGTAGTACTGTACAGTACTGTACAGCTGAAGTTTCATATTCGTTCAATAAGCCTACCCGAGAGTGCATCGGTCGTGAGACTCCTACCTGCACCCTGTGCTTGTTCTTTGGATAGATAGTCGTTCCGTGAGCACCGAATTTGATGCGACAAGTCGAAAAAAGGTATGAAGAAGTTAATCCGTAGTGTAAACGACGGTATGGTCGATTTAAAATTTGAATTTTATATTTAAATGTGTCATAAGCTATATTTCAGTTGTATGAACGTACTTTTGTATTTGATACGTCAGTGGCCATTCACGTTTTGATCTGGTAGCAAGCATGCTTTTTCGCAATTCTGGAAAATAACTTCATCGTTTTGATCGACTTCCTAATGAGAGAGGTTCGAGGGGTCAAATGCTGAACGAGCGTGACTTTTGATTGTAAGTGGTTTGTTGCATGTAGAAATGCCCATCGGATTTTCCTCGCGAAGCGTGTCAGTTTTTCGATTGTATTTTCATGTCTGGAGTGAAGTTTATGTGAGTAATAATCGACAATTCTTTGGTTCGCCAGTGTTCTCTCGACATGTGGCTGTCTCCTTTGTGTGTGGAACAAATAGTTGGATCTGCGAACTGGTAAGAGAACTGACCTTGAGCTGTGATGACGAATAGGTTACACTTACCTAAATCATTGTTGAATTCTGGTGATTCATCGAAGTCGCATTTTGTGAATAAGTCATGACCTTCAGAGGTTGTCGGTTCATAACGTGAATTCAATTTTCTAATGAAATGAATAACTATGAATTTCTATCGTTTTTCAGGCTCTAATTGCGTCGAGTTCTTGAGTTTAATCTATAAACATGAATGTGGTTCCGGATCGCAATTTCCTATTTCAAATATTTCAAAAAGTTGACCGAGATAGGAGTGGTGCCATAAGTGCAGATGAATTACGGGCCGCGTTATCCAATGGTACGTGGAATCCCTTCAATCCAGAAACCGTGCGCCTCATGATCGGAATGTTTGACAAGAACAACTCAGGAACCATCGGATTTGAAGAATTCGGTGCGTTATGGAAGTACATCAACGATTGGCAGCAATGCTTTCGATCCTTCGATCGTGACAACTCAGGGAATATCGACAAGGCGGAACTCAAGCATGCTTTGACGACTTTTGGCTACCGTTTCAGTGAACAATTTTTTGACGTACTCCTCACGAAGTTCGATAGATCAGGAAGAAAAATTATCTTCTTCGATGACTTCATTCAATGTTGCGTTACTTTGCATATGCTCACAACTGCGTTCCGTCAGCATGACACGGACTTGGATGGAATCATTACTATTTCTTACGAGCAGTTTTTAACGATGGTGTTGAGCGTTCAAATCTGATTTTTTTTAATACTTGTGCTTCCATGTCGATCTGTGTTTTTGCAGTTACAATGGGTGATCCAATTCGGTGGCTTTGAGCGTTCCGTGACATATTTTGAAAAAGTTCGTGTTATTCCCCGAACTCGCCAGGTTCGGTTTGATGCTTTTTGCCTGAATTCCGTAGATCAAATCAATGTGAATAATTTCAGTACCATAGTGACTCATAGTCTGAGGACGAGAGTTGTTCCAGTTCCGCCTAGGTTTCAATTCCCGATCAGCTTTTAGCAGAGTGCGGTTGCGCCGCTTTGAACGAATTTTTAGACGTCCACCCAAATTAGCTTGAACTTTTCCTTAGATTCGTAGTAAAACGCATTCGTAGGTATTTTCTGCCATTATTTGGGGACATGCAGGCATTAGGGGAATGTTTTGTGAATCCAAGCGTATCTGTCAGGATTACTCATTTCAATGAAGTATCAGTTCCACCGACCTTCTCTAGTATCGATCAACCGTGAATATGAATTCGTTTCATTAGCAGTTCTTCTGTCTGACTACTCGGAAATGATGCGTGAAAAATTCCGTGTTCGAAACTGTAAACCGTGTTGCTGTCTTTGAATGAGATTGAGCTAGATATCAAAGGAATTTCTTTTGCTTGCATCAGTTCAGGAAATCCATCTGTACTTTTTTTTTCGTGTTCATCGCATGCTGAAAATGTCTTGTACGGGTGGGAGTTTGGAAAATAGGCAATCAAATCTTCGAAGTTTGATTAATTCTGGTGAGATAATTCCAAACATCCCCAGATGACTGCTTATGGAAGGAAAAAAAAAAAACTTCTGGAATTAGCTGATGCGGAAATGGAAGAACTATTCCGAAAATAATCATAAACCGCGCATATTTTTCGTATCCCTGAAATTTGTTCGTGATCGTCAGATGGCTTATTATTCTTTTAGTGTAGTTTATATTTTTACTCTTCGTTAATAAATACCTCGTTGGATTGAGACTGGGCTAGTTAGAATAACATGCATCCGTCGAGCGGTCGTACGGTAGGTGCGATCGTGGAAGAGGAGAGACTGAAAGGAATTTTTCGCAGTGTTGATGTCAACGGGGATGGTGAAATCAGTTCTGGGGAATTGCAGGTTTTGTCTTCTTTATTTTACTTGAACATGAGCGCGAAATTTTCAATCCAAGTAGAAAATAACGAAGTGTTACCTTCTAGAGAGCTCTGGGCAATGGGTCTTTTCAGTATCCGTTCAGACTGGACGTCGTGGAACGAATGATAAGCATGTTTGACCGCGATTTTACCGGCACGATCAATGCTCGCGAATTCGTGGCACTTTGGCAGTATGTGAGCGACTGGGAGAAGGTTTTTCGGCGTTATGATACAAAATCGGACGGGTATATTGACCGAGCTCAGTTCGGCACTTGTTTGTACGCCATGGGCTACCGCTTGAGCCCGTATGCAGTTGATAGTGTGGTGAAAAGACACGGCCGGCCGGATTCTCGCGGTTTACATTTTGATGATTTCCTCGCATGCTGTGTGACGGTTTTCACGTTGACGGACATCTTCAGGGTTCACGACACCCGTCAAAATGGTTACGCTTCCTTCAATTATGACGATTTCATCAGCAAGTTGTCACGCGCCAAGTATTAACAGTCCGCTTTATTCCCTGAGTGAAGTCTGATTCGTGTATCCTGTATGCGCCATTCCGCGAGTGATTCGTCAGAATATTTTCAAGCTGATGGAAAATGTTGCTTTTGACTTTTTCTTTCTCAATTGGCCTCCGCTTTGTTTTTCCTACTAAACTGGGACTTGATCTTGAAGGTGATTAACTTATGAAGGAAATCATATACACTTATACAGTACCTTGAGATCTGGCCTTGAGGTGTTGAAGATATGTACTTCATGAAAATCCAATACAGTATACTGATAAGAAAACATGCTTGTCTTAGAGAAAAACTCGAATTCACGAAGACAAGGATGATCTGCATGACGTTCTAGTTTTCATATCTTCTCATATCTTTTAATATCTTCATATCTTTTAATTACATTCCAAGAGTGGAATGTAATTAAAAGGCTATATTATTGGAAATTATGCTGCGATTGAGGCAAGACGAAGGTTTTAATGTTGAGAATTTCTTTAAGTACAGTACAATTAGAATATTATCTGTGGTTGGTCCATCCTTGCAGTAAACACCGGTATAACTTCAAAAACCGTCATGTTTAAGCCGTTTTTATAGAACTGCGAATACCGCTATAAACCAGCCTGAATGAGTTTGTCCGTTTTATTTCTGAAAAGGATGTACAGTACTTACTGTAAATGTGATTTACGCGTGAGTTTATTTGTTTCGTCGTATTTGTAATGCTTCGATATTTTATATTGTGGAGTACTTCATCGCTATTCTCTTTCCCTCCTTGACCTTCAATGCTAAACTGAGGAGGAATGAACAGGTGGAGGCCGCACCCAGAATTACTGATATTATTTCGTCATGTATTGCGACTTACGTCATCTTTTCGGGAATTTTCTTGTGTTTCTGATTTATCGAAGGGTCCTTCTTTTTTTGCAGACATTATTGTGCATGAATGTCCCGTGTGTTTCGCACACCGCGAAGTGAAGAAAATGGCACAAGCTGAGGCAGAAAAAACAGACCAGCGTTTCTTGACGGACGTGTTTCGACGTGTGGATAAGGACAACAGCGGAGCAATATCGTTGGAGGAATTACAATCTGCTTTGTCTAACGGAACGTGGACTCCTTTCAGCGCTGAAACAGTGCGTCTGATGATCAACATGTTTGATCGCGACCGATCCGGCACAGTGACGTTTGACGAGTTCTGTGCTCTGTGGAAGTATATAATGGACTGGCAGTCGTGTTTCCGGGGTTTTGACCGGAACACTTCCGGTAGCATCGATAGTAAAGAGTTGAAGGATGCCTTGACTTCCTTTGGGTACCGATTTCAGGACTCGATGTTTGATGCGCTCGTGAAAAGGTTTGATACTCAGCGCCGAGGACAGATTTATTTTGATGATTTCATTCGTTGTTGCGTTGTACTGAACATTTTGACAACAGTTTTTAAGGAGTACGACTCTGATTTGGATGGTGTGATAAAGATCCCTTATGACCAGTTTTGCCTGGCGGTCTTCTCGTGCAACATCTGATCGTTCGTGTGGGTTATGATATTATTCAGGTATTAGTGGGGTATTTTGTTGGGGTGTCAGTGATGGAGATTTGATATGAATTTCCCCTGAAGAAACTGGTGCATTTCAGGGCAAGGTTTTTTTCTGTTGAGAGCATTCCTGGATCTTTTCGGAAAGTGTTCTATTTCATGATGCATTCGTGAATCTCTATGATAATGTAAATTATCGAAGACGGTTATGATTTCAAGCAAGTCTGAAGCCATTCCTTTTAAGATAGTGTACTTGGCTACTGTACTGTAATATTGTTCAATGACGGGTGATTTTTTCCGTGAGCTTTACTCCATCTTTTTTCATTTGGGAAAAACTAGAGATTCGTGAAGCTAAAATGTTTTTCGGAATCCTCATTTTCTGCCGTATTGACCGGAACTGAGCTTTCTTCTTTTCCCGTTCTCAAACAGGATGCGGTTGAAATATGTTTTGAGAAATCGTGACGGTGGTTGAAGGGATTCGATGATGCCGCTGCCTAAAGAAATTGAATCTATGATGGAGCTTCCACTTTCGGTGTGGACTGGTACGAGTCCGCGAACATTGTTTGACTGTTGCGCCGCGGAGATCCGCGAAAATCCCTACATCGCGTGTCGTTTGGTCGACGGACAACTTTGCCTCCGTCACCCGCTTCCGCCGGAAGTTGCGGAAGAGTTACTGGCTGACGGGTGTGCCTGGGAAATCAGTAAATACGTCGCCTTTCTGGAACTTTTGAACGAGTGCCCGTCGAGTCAGCCGAACGGCGTCTTGCGACGGTTCGTTGCAGCATTCCCCAATATCCCCGAGGCAGTCATTATAAAGGTGAGTCTGGCTGCAATTCGTAGAATTTTCACTGCCTTGATGTGAAAAGAATGTGAACAGAGATTATTCTGTATTTATTCGAGTGCCACGCAAACCTTTTTTCTCGAATTTAAGAGGAAGAAACTGCGGTGCGCGTCATAGGCGGGTACCGTATGCATTTTTCAAAAATTTTTAGGAATTTAGGTGTGCATTATGCTTGATTCTATTGTGCAATTATGGACCAAGTTTATGAGAAAAACGGATTTTAATGGACACAATTTAAGACTTTTCGAATTCGTGTTCAATTCGTGTCTAAATTCATATTCGGGTGTCCTTATTTTTAAAATATTATGGTTTTGGCTTTACTGAGATGCTGACAATGGGGGCGCTTCTTACTCGAGGGTGCGGTACTCGTGTAAATGCTATATTCCGTTGTAGAGGAGGAAGAAAATCGTTCAAATGAGCAAGTTTTAAAGGTCATACTGTAATATCAAAGGAATTTGGGCACAGATGAGTAATTTAAATCTCTTGAATTATTCCTTTTTTTCAAACATCACATTTCCGTTTTAGTGAATTTCTCGTGAAAATGTCGTCTTCGATATTTTTTAAACTTTATTTTATTATCCTGCAGGTTATCAAGCGACACAAGTTGACACACTTGTGTCTCGACGGCTGCGTAGATCTTTCACCCCGAGTCTACGAGGCGATTTGTGAACATGGTGACGAGCTGGTGTCGGTGAATTTCGGGTCTGCGGCGGAATCCGCGTTGCCCACCAAGTGCTGGTCCGCGTTGCCGCCGCCCGTGAGCGGTTCCAAATGGCGGCGGCTCATTTGGCGAAACTTTGATACCTGCATCGCGTCGGGGCGTCCCTACTCCGTACTCATTGGAAAACTGACGGAGTTGCGGCATCTGGAGCTCTCCAACTGTTCATATCCGGGACCTATGAAATTTTTAAGCAGCTTCACGAATTTGACGACGTTGGTGCTGCACTCGGTGCGGCCAAACCGGTCTCAGGGTCTGATTCTCTTGCCTAAGCCTGAAATGTTTTCAGTGATCTGCGGGCTGAAAAATTTGAGGTGAGTCCGCTAACTCATCGTTAAATGACAATTGAATTCTTTTTTCCTGAGCTGCAATCAACCAAACATACCATTATTGGAATGTTTTTGTTTAGCCTGGGACTTTTGTTGGTAATGGCAACAAATTCACGTATTATTCAACTAAGCCTTTTTTCAAACACAGTGAATTTGAGATTCGGGAAATAGCAAGGTGACATTTTCAGGGAAAAATGAAATTGTGTGGTGCAAATACAATAGATTCATTTGCAGTCGTATGTTGTGTTCAAATGGAGAACGATGGAGTGAGAAACGTAGAATAAATCAGATGAAGTGTGTATTAAGTGTAAGTTTTAAACAATTGTCGGGACGGTTGCGAGCGATTTTACAAAATTTACTTTCTATGGAAATTTTCTCGTAAAATACAGCGTTTTATTCAAAGAAGAAGCCATTTGGACTTGTAAGAGAAAAACAACTAACCATCCATGAATTTTGATGGAAAGTGACATTGTGGTGTAGAATCGAGGTTTTCTAATAAGGATTTACATTTCCGTTTGGCAGATTTTTGGATATATCAGAGTCTCAAGAAACCGAATACCCAAACCCCGACGAAACCCTGGCTGAACTAGTGGAATCCTTGCCAAAATTAGAATGTTTGGACATCTCGCACACGAATCTTGCCGGAACGGGTCGAGCGCGGTGTAAACGGCTCGGTTCGGGACTCGTCACTGATATTGTGGGTCTACGTTCTCGAACCGAGCGACCGCTGAAGTTCCTGGGGCTTTACGGCACGTTGCACGATGCCTGTCGGCGGCATCATATCCCTGCCGATATTGTGAGTATTTACGACTTTTTTTTTTCGAGTCCAACATGGTTTCACCATTACGCGATTTGTCTCTTGAATTTTTTTTCGTCTTTTGATTTGTAAATGTGAGGGGAATCGATGAAAGTATGAAAACGTTCAGAGAGGTTTACTGGAAGATTGATGAGTTCTACGTGATCTTCGTAGTCCGTCAGTTTAAAAAACAGTTCCCGCTGTCTTGATACAGAGAGATATCAGGCCTTTCCGAGAAACTTATTGACACGTTTCTACGACTTCTTCCGCATGCTGGCGAATTGGAAGTGTTCCGTTTCGGCAGAATGCAGTGTAACTGTCGCTCTTCCGTGTACTCTAGGGGAAACATTTTCCTTCTGAAATCACCACCGCGGTTATCGATTTATTAATCTGATTGTGGGGAAATCGGTGAAAGCGAAGGCACGTTTCTGAAGGATCCATTTCTGCAAAAGATGCGTCGAACTGCAGTAGAAATTTTGGATTTTTTTTGTTGCTGATCTTTCATCTTCTCATCGTCAGCCTGTTGGAAAAAAAATGCTATCAAAAAGCGTTTATTTTAATACAGTGCTCAGCGATGTCTCAAATGCGTAATGCTGTACAACCCTTTTCTGTCGCATTTTTCATGCAACCGGAAAATTGCTGATGGAAAGTTATTTTTTATTTTTTCTCTCAAATCAGTGTCCAGTACAGTACTTGAAATTTTCTTGCTGTAATTTTTCGGTCACCTTAAAGTGAGATTTTTAAGGTAATCAGATTTATCTTTCATGGATTGTACTCCATTGTTCAGTTCTTCCATGTTGGTGGCGTGACTCACTCATCGAGTCGCACTTGCTGGAACGAGACTCGAACACAAATAAATACTAAAAGCGTTTTTTGTCACTTCCATAATTGGTACAGTCCTGACGCTAGCAGTTGCGATTGATGAATAAACTTGTTCCAGTGCGTCAAGGAAACTGGGAGAATCGTATTGATGTCATCGTTACCCTTGTCGCATTCAAAACTTGAAGTACGAATTGCCTGTAGATTAAAAAAACAATTTTAATTTGTCAAAATGTCCAGAAAATTTCTACAAAAATGTTCCGACGATTCGCCCAGCAAATTACTAATCTTTTTGTTTTCTCGCGTTCCTAATTGTCAACCCTACCTCAACTAAACGCAGTTAAAAGGATAAAGTAAGGTTAATGATTGGGGACATGCGAGCTTAAAGCAGAAGATAATCCCAATGTTGTCAAAACTTGAAAGCATGAAGACAAAAACGATCTTTTAAATCTTCTGGCTTTTATCTTCTGCTGCGCTTAGGTTTCCGGTGATGCAAATGAAGAGCAAGTACTGGCCGCGGGAGAGGCGTACATTGAACGTCAGGAGTTGATGAAGTACGTACTAAACGACATCTTCAACATGTTCCGAGTGGACACAGTAAGTGACGTGAAGCGCGTGCTGGACATCATTCTGAGAGCAATGCACAAGTACCTCAATGTCGAATCTATTCAGATTTCCGGAAGGTTTGTAATTTTAATTGTACCACTCGAGTCGCGACATTTTTACGATTGTTCTATTGGTTTAGTGCGTCGCTGTATCATATTGTGAAACACTGGCCGAAAAATATGTACCCGACGGCAGTGACGCAAAGGATATTGAGAACCTTGGTGAACGGAATGGTGGTTCATCAAAAAAACGGGAATATGATGCGAAATGGTTGTTTAACTCTGTGGAACTTCGAGATACCAAAGGATGTGGTGAGTGTTAATTTTCCTGTCCAAAATTTCTAACTGTCCTGTATGTTCAGATTTTCCTTGCTTGTGAACGATGTTAGAGTTGTCTGGTCTTCATCAGTTATCGAGAATAGGTTCCTCTAGATTGAAATGTTGAATGATCTGATCAAGCGGAAAAATCATCCTGTACATTTACTGGACGAAAAATGTGTGCTCGAACTTTGCTAAAGATGTGGGAAGCCAGAAGAAAAATGTCACATTTGTTTTCAACTTGAGTTATTTCCTACTTGGACTTATTGTTGCTGAGTATGTTAAAATTGACGCTTTTATGCATTTTTGTGAAGTCGAAAGATACGAAACTCGTTCGTTTAAATGTATCGCCTTCATCGAATACATACTGAAGGATTTCTACTTTTCATGCATAAAAAGGTGTTACTTTTGAAGTAAAGTTTATTTCCTGGTCAGTGGTAACCCGAGTTTTTAATATTTTTTCTTACATTTCAGTTGTTTGACTATGAGCGAATAGTCACGGTGTTGTTGTCAGTTGTCGATGATGAGAACAGAAAGCAGCAATCACGAAACAACTTCGTTCATCGAATGTGCGTTTTCTTGTTGAACGCATTCGCGTGTCAAGTTGAAGGTTACCACAAAAATCTGCTGGGAAAGCGTGGAGCTATACGAGTGAGTATTGAATCGATTCGCTAGTACAGATACTTTTCAAGGTGTGCAAACAAATTTTTAATGATCAGGTTTTCGTTTGCATAAGACATCAAGAATCTTGGAGCTGGTTTGCGTCGATATTGAGAATATAATTACTGTTTTGAATTGAAATTTATCGACATATAACTAATGAAAATATAAGAAAGAACTTTTTACGTCTTTTTCCGATGACACGACATAGAAAGTTTTAAAAACGTGACTTGTATTTATTTCTTGAAGTAAGGGGTAGGTCATCGATGGCTTTCAGAATGATGACTACTGTATTTTTCGTAGTACTGTATTGATTGGGGATTTATTTTTTTCAGGTTATGTTGGATTTGATCCACGACCGATTACATGAAAAGAACTGCGATGATGTGATGGAAATGGCGTGGTCATCTATGTGGAACGTGACGGACGAAACCCCAGAGAATTGTAGAGAATTTCTGTCGCTCGGTGGAATGCAAACTTTTCTGGATTGCTGCCACGTGAGTGACCCCGGTCCTGACCCGTTTTGCCCGTGTTATCCTGGATATCATGCAGAAAACCAATTCAATACTAAGGAAGCCCTACGTTTGCATAATAAGAGAAATAAAGGATTTCCATGTAAACGTCTCGTTGATCGATACAGTTAATGAAGAGGAATGTTATTGGGGATGAGGAAAGCACGAAAATATTGTAAAAATTATAATAGTATTTCCACCGCAATCCAAAAAAATAAACATGGAGGGCAAAGATTGCGAAATTTCATTGACAATTGTGGGATAAAGATTAACCATTATTTTTCGTACAGTATTGTATTTCCAGATTAAGGCTTCAGCTATACGAATTTACTGTGTTTCAATATTTCTTGGTTCGATTCTGAGGTGTCGAGTAAATTTTGTTTGTATCATTTATCAGATGACCCCAATTTAGCTTGATGATTAATTGAGAATGACTTCTGATTTTCATAATTTTACGGCACTCATTGGCTTGCACTTCCTTGAGCAATCCTCCGTAGTTCACGTCAATTTTACTTTCATTCATATTCGAACTACTTCGGGTTGTTTAACTGAATAAATCAATCGAAGGAATTTTGGGTGAAAATTTATCTTCTCTACATTTTTCAGCTTCTCGGGTACTTATTTTTTTATTGCCAACAATTTTTTAAATGTATCTTGAAAAGTTAGTCTGTCGTGGAATATGAAATGAAAATTCTAATTTATTCAAGGTTTTCGAGGGACGAGAGGAACTCCTTCGTAACATGATGGGGCTCCTGGGCAACGTGGCCGAGGTGAAAGAACTTCGACCCCAGCTGATGAACCAAACTTTCATCGGTCTCTTCGACGTGCTGCTTGACTCTCCGAGTGACGGGATCGAAGTGAGTTACAATGCAGCTGGTGTTTTGGCCCACATTGCCTCTGATGGAGAGGAAGCGTGGACGCTGCAAAACCCCGACCGAAGAGGCGTTTTGTCCAGACTCGTGCGTGCTGTGGATCGATGGGACCTGGATAAACAGCGGAATATCAATTACCGCTCATTCGAGCCAATTTTGAGACTGGTCAAGGTGCAGCATACCGAGGAAGTGCGGTATTGGGCGGTTTGGGCACTGGCCAATTTGACCACTGTCTACCGTGAGTCGCAAATTTGTTCCAAGTATACGAACACTTCGCACCTGCTGTTCTACAAAAAAAGTTGATCGGGAATATAGCTGCATAGTCGAGAAGTATTCAGCAGGTGCTCCGCACTAATTTAATTGAATGGAATTAATTTTGCTCGAATATTTTACTGTATCCTTTCGAGTACCATACGCGCCTTTTTTCTAAAAATTGCTAGGAAAAAGGGGGTGCGCGTCATAAGCTGCGATAAAATGTAGAACATTTTTTCGAAGTTTAGGTGTCCTTTAAACTTGAAATAATCGGAAGTTTGAAAGGAATTTCTTTTAAATCAAAACAATTTAAAACTAATTGAATTCATGTTGGAATTTGAATTTTGGTGTCTCTTATTTTTTGAAATTTTTTGGTTCATCAGTCTATTCCGGTATAGGATTTCATCGACATTTTAGGATGAAAAATTGGGTGCGTGTTTTCCTGGAGGACACGTGGTACTTGAGTAACTACAGTAAAGTGAATATAAACAAATGTATCTCCTCATGCACTGACGTCAGTGCTGATTCCACTTCAGTTTCTTTTTCTTTACTCAGTTCATAGGGTACACGTCGTCGTCTTTCTCCTTATCGTTCGTAAAAAAAAATATTTATTGTACACTTTGTTGGTCAAGCTAGAGATCCTTTCAAAGAATTCGCCCGAGAGGCTCTTACGTTTAAATTGATTGTACAAAGGTTTCCATAAACTCAATGGGTTGAGAAACGCAGGCATTAAATCAAGTCATTTTACAGTGAGAAAAGGGTGAAAAAAAATTTGTATACAGTAACTGTGAAGATATTACCGTATTATGATGGGACTACTGTATTTATCTTGACAGGAAATGTCAGCACATCACAGATATTGGTCGTATGTTTTGCCAAACTGAGGTAGTGTACTGTACTTGCTAGAGTGATGATTTTTGTCATGAAGAATACAAGTACTGTACTGTAAATTACTTCATTGATTTTGTTAAATAACATTTATTAAAGTAACCTAAATTTTACGGATTGCCTGTTGGTGACTTTGTTACGTGGGGCTGTTTCTATCAGTTTAACTACATAGATGATTAAACTTTCTTGCTGTTGGAAATGTTCTCGTCTCGGAGCAGATACAGCTGAAAATAATAGCTAGTGCCTGGATAATAATAATAACAGCTAGTGTCTGAGTAATCCTTGCTGAAATGACACCAGAGCTGTGATCTCAGACAGGATGTTGATAAATAGAAAAAAAAAAGAATGAGAGCATTGAAAGAGTTACTGTACTGAGCTAAACTTTGAAAAAGCTGTTGTTGCGGGATTTAACTGTGAAATTTTTCGTATGATTTGGATAATTCATCCAGCTCAATTTTCCGGGAACCCCCATATAGTTGTCGAGAATTTTGAATATTCCACAGCGTAGAGTACAGTATGTATTTGCTCAAAGGAGTTTCACGTTCTCCAATTCAAATGGTCGTGCTAGTTATTCATTCCCCAACATTTTACACGGCTTCCTTGCTTGCATCACGTCTACCCTCTTCATTACATGGTGCAATAAAGCCTCGTTCAATCAAATCGTATAAGGATGGATTTTTTGTTTGAGTGAGCCGACATTGTATTGAGTTTCCCATTCAGCGATTTAATTTTTCGAAACATTGAATTTACATTGTTATTTGTTTTTAGATTCGGGAAACCGTTTGCTTTGTTGTTCTGGATAGCAGAAAAAACCGTTCCACTTCTACGTTGTATCAAATTTATATTACCTTATTTCAAATTTCTGAAGATTTTGTAAACTGAAGAAAAAAATTTCAACATGATAGCAAGAGTTTGTTTACTTTTCTAAAAAAAAAAGTCTTTCTGGTGTTTTCGGCTGCTGTGAATAGAGATTAAATAATTCCACTTCCTTGTTGTACCCACGGAGTGAATGGATTTTCTTTCCGTCGCATAGAAATTAAAATCGTTCTGTATCGTGACGCACATTACGTAAGTGTCATATAAATTTAATTAAAATTATGTTGATTCACGATAATTTATGTTTATTAATATATAGTATTAAGACGACATCGTCCTGACCTTTGAATATTCTAAAAGTGAGTTTACAACATGGAATGGGCAAACTATACGTCAACACTGTTTGAGAACGCAGGAGAATTAAACTTTAATTGACTTGATTGCGATGATGTCTTGGAATACATGACTTATCCGTGCTGACGTATTCCATCAGCTGGCAAATATTGTGGCCTGGTGCGTGAAGAAGGCGGTCTGGAGATCCTTGCCGAGGTGATTAAGCTGCCGACACGCTTGAAAGCCATGCGGAGTTGGGCCCATTGTGTGCTCCATAATTGCGCCACCACTCCTTACCCGTATCCATCGCAGCTGGAAGAAGAAGACTGATTCTTGGTGCAGACGCGTGCCAAGTGGTCGCTCGTGATCCAAACAAATAAAAATGAGACCCGTTGGAGGAAAAAAAGAGCCGCGAATTACGTGAAACTCGGGGGCCGTGATTTGACCTTGTTCCTTTTGTATATGTAATCCATGAGTCGTGAGTAGAATACGTTCGCTTACAATTATCCTGTTACCAAAATTTTGCAAGAAAAAAGAAAGAAAGTGTTTTTGAGTCGGAACGCGCCGGAAATGTTTGCAATGCTGATGTATCCACAAGTCAACAGAGTTTTTCTGTTGTATTGCCGTTGTTGCCCGTGTAAAATTTAACAATCTACAATCGTGGAAGCGACATAATTCATATGGTGTGTATTTGTGATGATCGTGTTGCGAGTTTGTGATATTTGCGGAGTTCGTTTCCCGTAGATCCTTGCTTTTTTTTATGGAAAAAAATGCCGGTAGTAGCATGTAATGCGTGCGATGGCGGGAATTTTACTTTCGGTCCAATTGTCGCGGAAAACAATGTTTTCGGGTGGGTTTAGTAGTATGAACAATTGAATTTCGAACGCTTTTGAAAAATTGCTTTGTTGCTTGGATTTTAAAATTATATTTTTCATTCAATGAACGTCCCTTGGAAGTCCTGATCTGAAAGTCTTCAGCAATACGAATGAAAATTCAAAGCTTTTTTTTTTTTATAAAATCTAACACCCTCAGAATGTTTTATGTAAATTACGAGCATTCCGGAAAAAACTGGTTCTATTCGAAAAGTAGAAAATGTTGCTGGACTTTGCCTTTCTTTTCTGTTGAAAGAAGATAGTGAGACTGTAACCTGAAATTTAAGAATATCTAGTTGAAAAGTTCATTATTTCATTATAGTATTACGCCATTAATAAACCCTATTTGAGTTAAAATTATTAAATTATGAAGATAAATAAATCATTTGAAAATATATGTGAGTGTAACACGCTTCTGTCCAGCATCAAACTTCACGAGGACTTCGTAAAAACATTGGGCGTTGCCACGAAAAGAGCCAGTTTTGGTCTTCCTTAGTGATATGAAATTGTTAACATTTTCTAACATCCAACAATCAGTTGAATGGATACCGTAATTGATCTAAGAGGAAAGAACTGTATCTTAATTTAGTTTCATTCATTGAATGGAAAATATACTCGAAAATTCTTTTCCTTCGTTAAAAGAGCGAATAACGTGGAATAATGACGCGCATTTTTTATATTTTCCAGGTGCTGTTTTGCGAACATTTTTGGCTTTTCAAATGAAGGTTTTTGAAGTGTGTATCGCTTTTTCACATTCGAGAAGAAGTCGTTCATCCTCGGAATTATCGGCGCGGCAGTTACCGCGTTGCGTTGTTTGAATTTCTTCACTCTTGATTTCTTAATTCAGAGATGGAAAAATAATTTTTTTTTTGTGAGTTACGTCCAATTTTATTGTTCTGGCCGCGTTGAGATATCTGCCATGAAAAATATGTCAAAGGACTGCCTTTTATTTTGCTCATTTTTTATGCAAATGGGAAGCTCTAATCTCAAAGTTCATTGGATGGATTTTATTTCACCATATAAATATTTTTTCGCTTTTAGCGGGAGTTGATCCGACATTTTTGAACCCGCCCAGTAAAATGTATTCGGAAAAAAGTACTGAGGCCTACTTTGGCGAAAAAATATGAAAATAATACGTTTGATTAAACAAAGTTATTTGGTCGCATCTTGGGTACGCCGAAAATGAAATTTAAGCTGAAGTTTGCAGCTTTTTGTTGTTGTTGATTATTCAAGATAACTTCGCAATAATACAGCGATAAAATGATTCTGAAGTATGCAAAGATGTGGCATTTTTTCCAGTTCTTACAAACATATTTGTTGCTAAATAGTTTTAATCGAGCAGTTGCAAACTTTCGTTTGACTCTGAACTTAAAATCTGTTCTATTTTCGTTGAAATTTGATACTGTATGTTGAACCACAATGTTTTATTTTTTCGGTGCAGTGCTAGTTGATGAATATTTTGCTGTTTTCTGAATGAAAAGAAGAAACAGAGGGGTTTTCTCCGCGTAGAATTTATGTGCTTGCTCATAGAGTTGGAGCAGTTCATGTGCTAGTCAAGACGTCTCCCGCGTGTAATCCTATTTCGGGAGATAATTGGCAAAAATGACGGAATATAAACTGGTGGTCGTGGGTGCTGGCGGTGTCGGAAAAAGTGCCTTGACCATTCAACTCATTCAGAATCATTTCGTGGACGAATACGATCCCACGATTGAAGACTCGTACCGGAAACAAGTCGTCATCGACGGCGAGACGTGTTTGTTGGACATTCTCGACACCGCGGGTCAAGAGGAGTACTCAGCAATGCGAGACCAGTACATGCGGACCGGTGAAGGCTTTCTCCTCGTTTTCGCTGTGAACAACGGGAAATCCTTCGAAGATATTTCCATGTACCGGGAGCAGATCAAACGCGTCAAGGACGCCGACGACGTTCCGATGGTCCTCGTCGGAAACAAATGTGATCTCTCCACTCGCTCCATTGACATGAATCAGGCCAAGGATGTGGCCAGGAGTTACGCGATTCCGTTCATCGAAACGTCGGCCAAGACACGAATGGGAGTGGACGATGCCTTTTACACGCTAGTGCGGGAAATTCGGAAGCACAAGGAGCGACAAGGCAAAGACAAGAAAAACAGTGGATCTCAGAAGCAGTGGCGTAAAAAGTGTACCGTCTGCTGATGCGTCGCTCTCTGTTCATCAAATCCATCAAAGTTTTATCTTCGGCTCTCGATTTAATGTTTTTTTTTTTCTTTGATTGGGCTTTGAGTTTATGCTATGTTTTATGTGGGGATTCCCGCGCTACTAGATCCGACAATCCGTGAATATTTCCAAAAAATCATAAGCATCTGCAGTATTGGTTAATAGACCTGTTCCGTTTCAGGAGGAAGTCCATTAATTGAGTACGGTAACGAAAAGCCAGATAAAATCGCAAATTGGTTTCAGGCCACTAACGAGTGCCTTGACCAATAAACATAATACCTAATGGATTGGCCCAATTCCTTTGAAATGTTTTAATTAATAACTTTAAAAAATGTTTTGAACCTTGAGCAGAAATGCCGAACTTGGAGATAGAGAACTATGCTCTACGCTATAAAGAATAAAAACTACCGCATAGATTCGGAAGATGAGACTAGAGGTCATGTTTTTGGCAAACTGCCCTTTTTTTGCAGTCCATCAAAAAATACGAAAATATATGGCTGCCCAAGCATCTTTTCGATACGTTCGTATCCGGACTACAGTACCTCTGTATAATCGATGAATGCGGATTAATGGACTACAGAACAATAAGAAATAGGGAAATACTTTCTGACATCCCAACGAGTGTTTCGCGCCTGGAAATTGAATAACAAGTAAATCGTTGCCCTTTTCAATCCCTGTGTGATTGAGTCTAACGAGACAGAGACAAAAAGCTTGGTTTTGACTCTCCTGAGGATTGCAGAAATTTCGAGACGCGAGAAACAATACCTAGTCCCAGAAAGGCAAAAATATACTGTATTTCCCTGTATACTGTAGAAATATGTTCGTCCAGATGATATAATTTTTTTTCGTTTTCAAATCACAGCGTGTAGTCTTTCCTATGGCACGAAGTGCAAAGTGATACGTTTTACAGCAATTCCCCGGAAATTGCAGGCTTTTGTCGGTCTAGTTGCGCGTTCATTTTCATTCACTTTTTTGAGTCTTCAGGTGATGACGCTCTTCGTACCGGTGACATATACTGTAGTTGAGAAATCTGGAATCTTTCCCCGATTCACTAACTGATGCGTTGAGATTTTTGACATCTCCGAAAAAAATTCGGAAGTGTGTAAATTTAAGTTTTATTTTTATCCTAATCGCGCGGATTTAGGCATGAACATTTTCGGCTTAGATCTGCTAGTTCCCTTTCTCAGTAAGGTAACGTACTTGCATTAACGTAGCTCTTAATTTAAATTATTTTAGGAGACCGTACATAAGCTGAATTATAACAGCGGACTTGTTTCTGGGGATCCACCCAAGTTATGAGAATAAAAGGCGCGCCTTCCGTGAATTTTGACTTCTAGAAATAAGGCGTGTCTTAGAATGAATTAAAATTCAGATTTATTTGCCAAATTATCAATTATGAAGTTGTATACGACTTCGTGCCCGCAGAATAAGTTTGAAATATTATTTGAATTGAATGCAAAAATTGACAATTCGTTAAGCAATTGTGAGAAAGCAGCTGGCTGTTCTCCTTTTTCCGAATGATCATTGTTTTTCTTTCAAGCGACATAATTCCAATAATATTTCGTGAAATTACGATTTCACGTGTAAGATTATCATTCTGATGTCTTTGTTTAGAATGCTTTGTGTTTGAAGGAGATTTGGTCATCGTCATTTGAAAATGCAATCCCCTCTAGCATATAAGTTGCAGAAAAATCCGGAGAGCGTCCGAATGTTATGAGCAGTGAATAGGTCCTGAATTTTTATCAAGTGCAGTGATAGATTATCGCGATTCGTACTCGTTCCCCATTTAGTCGCAGAAAATTGTTAACGCGTGGCTTAAACTCAAATTTTTTCTACTTGCTCAGTCTAATTGGGCTTGTCTTGGCAAAAAGCCAGTTCTAGAATTTTGGAGAATCGAATCCTTTATTTAGATTTTTCATGGACAGGACGCTTGAATGGAAGGAACACGTGGACGGTCAAATTTTGGATCTCAGTATGTCTGGAAAAAAAAAGATTTATGGAGGAAATTAATCCATGATCAGTGGATGGGGTAGAATGTTGAAAGGTTGCAGTTGAGTTATTTTATTTTGTGTTGTAGGTTGGGAGGAATTTGAATGATTGTATGATGAAATTTTGCGTTGTCCAGTTAAAACTTCTGCTCAAAGTTTGAGATAGGTTTCACGTCTTATGAGCCTATCTCCCTGCTTGGCATTGACCGTCTGGTGAAATGCAAATAACTTGAATACAACCTCGTTTGTGACAATTTCAATTGCATGCTGGGCAATTGCCGAAAACGCTGCCAAAAATGTACACTACATGCAACGGAATGCAGTACTCAAATATGCTCAAATAAATATGCTGAAATAGAAGATGAGAAAAAATAAAAAATTCATGCGAAAATGGGCCAAAATAAACCCGCCAGCAATAAAAAATTCCCATAGACCAAAATCATGACTGGGAGAGAGAATGTAATAATTTTGGGATACATTGAGCAAGGAGAATTTTTGAAAACTTGAGGGCAAAATGTATGCATCTGTGAAATCAAATAGACATTGATAGAGGTCTAAATTGCTGCACATATTGCCCAAAAGCGAGTTTGAAGTCAGCAGAAGTCACGAATTTGTTAAAGGTGCTGGGACAAGACAATTTCACTGAAGGGCTTCTGTCCGTATTGGAGGTTGCTGAGGTTATTACCAGCTTTTAAAAAATCAGTTAGTCACATTTAAATATTTGAGGGTGCAATAGAAAATTGTAAAAAATTATTGTAAACATAGAGAACTCGAAGTAGTTTTCTGAGGAAAGGCAGCCATTCTGGGAAATGATGGAGCTCCCATGAGGCTGGTAGAAAGTGCTTGCGGAATTTACCCTGTTCCCCCTGCCTCACTCCCTGAATTCATCACTCTCTCTTTGAAGAAAAATCATGAGAGACTTCAGAAGGCCTGTTTGAATAGGTATAGAAAGTGTACAACAAATATAATTAATATTCATATTTATAAACCTTATGGCTTTACTGAAGGTTCTTAAAAATGAATATTAATTATATTTGTTGATGGTACTTCTCCTACTACACTTTCTATACCTATTCAAACAGGCCTTCTGAAGTCTCTCATGATTTTTCTTCAAAGAGAGAGTGATGGGTTCAGGGAGTGAGGCAGGGGGAAGGGGGAGCAGGGTAAATTCCGCAGCTCACATGTGAGCTCCGGCGTTGAATCCTATTGTTCAAGGTATGTGCAGCAACTCATTGAAGGATAATTCAGACAATTCACAGTGGAAACTGATGAATGGCATAGCAAAAGAAATCAAAATCTGCACAAACGTGAAATGTATTCCCCCAGCAGATAATTATAGTGGCACCTCAAAAAATCAATGTCAAACTTTATTTCTTCTGTTATACCATTTTTTTGCTGACTGGTGCCCAAGAATTTTAATCCCTATCTGGGGGTTTATTTCAAGTTCTTCTGCTGGCTTTTATGTCAGTACTTTCCTGAGGGAGTTTGTATTAAGTCACCATTGCAGTTGATCATCAGTGATTGACTGAAGTGGTACCTAGCCTGTTTTCAACAACTTTTTCAGCAATCATGCATCTAAGTTGCACAGCACACTTTCTGGGGTGAAAGTGAAGTGTAATTTTTAAAGAGGTTTTGATTGAACTTGTGCCAAACCCCGTTTTAAGCGCAATGTTGAAAAGCTGCAATCCAGACTTTTGCAGATGAACTTCGTGTCAATAGCCTGCTTTCAAAAAATTTTACAGCAGAATTCATGAAAAGTATTTAAGCTGCACTAGGACGCTATGTGAAGGAAACAGTGCATACTCCATAAAGTGTGTTCTATGGCCTGCCCCAGCCAAATCAGAGGCACTATGAACTCACGGTGCTGGTAGGGTGCACTCCTTTGCAAAAAATTTGCCTCAAATCATCAGAGGGAATTGAAATGGCTCAAGATGAAATTATTCATGTTCACATGTTCTTCCTCGTTTTGAAGAAATATTAAGCAAATAAGTTTGATCCCTCCTAAATGGAGGGCAAGATTATCTGCGTTGGAGGTAGGTCCAGTTCCACAGATGTGTTTTTACACTGCAGTACAGTACTGTACCTTCATAGCGTCCAAATTACACGGTAGAGCTCTGTGACTCGATAAGATAGAGCAGAAAAACAGGTGGTGTAGTTTCTCGCCAGAGCAGAACTCTTGGTCAGCGAAACTCTAGGCCACTGCACCCCCCATACCCTCACTCCTCTTCTCATCACTCTCTTCATCACGCACACTAGTGACAGACTTGAGGATTCAAGTTTACAGTGCGCCGGGCGGTGTCACAGGACTATAGTGATACCAGGTCTAGTAAGGATGTTCACACTGGAATAAAGGGTGTCACAGGACAACTTCTTCACAGTATACAGGAGTCCACTTTTTTGTCATTCAAGTGTTACAA